CTCGGCCTCTCAGCTCTACATGCAGGATCAAACCAGCTCCTCTCTGAGAGAGAAAATAACTCTCTGAACTCACACGCATGGTTCAACATTAATTTAACATTAGTTAGTGATAAACATCCTTGACCTTGACCAAAAATCCCCTGACAAAATGTTGCAAAATTGCTATCAAAAATCTAAATGTAACAAAAAGTAAATGCAACATTTTCCTTAAAAATGTGGCAACATCAGATTTTTTCACAAGATTTATTGCCAAAAAGTAAAAGTAAATGTAATATTTTAAATATTTTATGCTCTTCTAGCATGGGTCTGTATCTGCCTGGTAAATGTTCAGTTCATTTTGCATAATGCAACATGTATCCTCATTAAATCTGATATTTTTGAAAGCCTGTTTATTTCCACTATAAATTGTGTCACATTTGTTTGGAAAATGCATTTGTGGGTTGAGTAGAGCTGAGTTTGAGTGTTTTGCTTATAAAACTTAACAAATCTTCTCTGCTGTTGCCAAACATTTTATTCTGTTATTGACTCTTGTTTGGGGTTGTTGGGCCATCTGTGGCTGAGTGGTTAGAGCAGTCGTCCTCCAGTGCAAGAGTTGGGGGTTCGATTCCACCAGCAGTCACATGCTGCAGCGTCTCTGTGCAAGACAATGAACCCCTCATTGCCTCCGATGTGTGTCCCATCGGTGCATGAATGTGATAAAGCGCTGATTAAGCATTGTACTGATATAGTAGAGTGCTGTATGAATGGGTAAATGAGGGCACAGATTGTAGTGTAAAAGGCTTTGAGTGTCTTGATAAGATAGAAAGGCGCTATATCAGTACAGTCCATTTACCATTTGTTTATTGGATTGAATGGTGGAAGTCTAAAGAAACAAGAAATGTTTGTAATTTAACAACTTCTTCATTTAACAAACTTCAGTAGCATGTGGAAGAACCATATACAGACAACAGCCTGGCACCTCCTCTTAATGCTACTCATTAGCCTGATCATACACTGTTATGGGATAGATTCCCAGTTTCAGTCAGCATTTGTTCTAAGTCTGTCTGTGATGATCATTCTGGAACAGACAACATGCACAAGCTAACCCCACAGGTGTTCGGTGGAGTTGAGGTCAAGACTGCAGACAGCTCCATCCTCTGTACTCCCAAATTCAGGAGGTATTCTCTGATAAACCCAACTCTGTGGGGGTAAGCGTTGTCATCTTAGCAGGGGTATCAAACTCAGTTACAAAGGGGGGGGGGGGGGGGATTAAAAACATGGTCCAAGCCAAGGGCCAATTTCAGTCAATACATTAACTCCAATCAGATAGCCGACATGTTTTCTTGGTTGCAGGTTCATCAACAAGAGTTTAATTGGTCCCATTTGATGTTCTCTGTTGCTCTTTCCACATCCAAATGAAAGATTACTGAAAAATCCAACCTTTTTTCTGGCTTCAAAGTCAAACTGTCCTGAGAGGTCTGCACTAAACAAAGTATTTAGTAGGTTTTTTTTTTTAAGCAAAGTGAGAAACAATAACATTTCTACATTTAAAATATCTTAGGGAGCCAGATACGATGTTACTGAGGGCCAGATTTGGCCGACGGGCCTTGACTTTGACACGTGTCTTAGAAGATAGAGTTTGGTACATTTGTTCTTTTTATGTTTTTCATGGGCACAACCAACAAAACTCAACTCTGCTACTCAACCCACACATTTTCCTTAAAAAGGTGGCAACATCAGATTTTTTCACAAGATTTATTGCCAAGAAGCATTGTTACGATACAGAAATGATCAATCAAACACAGATTCTCTTACTTTTAGATAACGAGACAAACCCGTACCCCCTTCCTCTGTGCCACCCTTTCCATTCAGCGTTCCTTATTTCAATTTCTCAAAGTTGCTATACCTAATCTCAACCGGGCTAAACCTTTTGACCCAATATTTGCCCAACTGCTTTGACCCACAGTTGAGTTCTCAGAATAACCCATCAGGTTTTACTGTTTTGAGAGTGAGAGGAAGTCTGCTGGACTTATATGGGAAGATGTTGCACATGCTGCCTTTTCTCGTTCAGATTGTAAGAATCCAGATCGGAAGTGTAGCTCTGTATGAATCATGTCTGATCAAATCAGATTGGGAAAACTGCATGGTAAGGAAGAAGGGACACTATATGCAATAAAGGCTCAGATATTTGCCTAAAGAACTGGGAGAAGTCATGGGATGGGGAGAGGCTGCAGTAATTCCATTCATCAGGGGCTGTTGACCTGCACACTGCCTTGGAATGTAAATTGATTTGTTTGGAGACATGACCCGCAGCCACAAGGGTCGCAAAACATTCCTTCAGCGCCCCCTTCTGCCTCCTCCTCCTCCTCTTTTCTTCAAAGCAAAGCTAGGATTTATTTCCTCTGTCTGACCTTTCATGCATCAGCTCCCCACAACAACAGGAGACAAAAGGTGCCTCAGCCCCCAAAAAATAAAATAAAACTCACCTGATGTCATCTGTTAACCCTATTAACCCCACAAACCTTCACTTCAAATGTTCTACTTTTTATTTATTGTATTTCACCTGCTTCTGGTTAAGCGGAGGACAAGAAATGAAGTGTCAGGCCTAAAAAAAAAAAAAGTCTCAAGAAGATGAATAATATATTTGAGAAATAGGAAAAATCCAGCAAAGACCTGAAACAGGATCTGAGCTGCTTCATTTTTTTTTGTTTGACCATCTACAGAAGGCCAAGTTTTCAGCTACAAGCTCTTTAGGGATTTATCGTGCTGGTGCTAAGTTTTCTACCGATCTGTGTTTTACTGGTTATTAATCATAGAGCCAACTGAAGAAACAAATTAAAACTGTCTTTGTGACAGGATGTTGCACAAAACAGCCAAAGATCCAGTTTATCAAAGGCTCTTTGCTAAGGTTGTTAAATGTCGACACAAGATTGGTTCATCCTTTGAGTTTAGAAACATTTAATGATGGAAGGATTCATATTTAAGTTGGTTAACAACAAACACACACACCTTGCTAGGGACTGGACAGTGGAAAAAAACAGCCAAAGTCTAAAGAACTTTTTTTTTTTTTACTGGTTTACTGGAGACAAAATGTAAAGAAAATGAGTGATAACTGAAGGTTTGATTTGATTTGACCACTCAATTTGTTAGTGTTTGTTAAAACATATTAAACCAAATTTGTTTCCAGTTTTATTCTTTTAATGTATGTTTTTGCTTTAATTACACCTTATTAGCTCCTCTGATTTAACGCTGATATTTTATAGGAAACACGGCTTGAACAGTAACATAAATGTTTATACCTTTTACCTTTAACCATTGTGTGCAGCGTAAAGGCCACACAGTACAGACTCTAATATCTCCACCCCAAAAAAGGCCAAAGCATTGATTTCATTAGGCGCTGCGGCATGGGGTTCTCTGTTTGCTCAAGCTGCATTCCTGGGATTCCTGGTCGGCTAAAGGCTGGCCAAGTTTTTGTCGGTGCCTGAGAAATAGTTTGGTTACAGAGCTCAGTGAGCAACAAGTAACTGTTCCTCAGCTCTGTCTGGTAGAAGACAAAACGCAGCCGTTTGATGACTAATTTGTGCTTTTAGGTCAACAAAGGAGCTGAATTACAGAGCAAAGGGCAAAGTTTTAGATTATTTGTGCAATTCATTGACAGTCTTTTCTAATTTTTATTATATTGTGTCGTTATGCAACAAAACGTAGTGTTTTGATTTTGTTTTTGATATTTTTTGTCACGTCAATCAACCAAACTTCAGTTGTGAAAGCAGAATGACTTCTGAACAAGCTGAGCTTTATTATTTAAATTAAATTTCACTAGAGTTCAGCTTCTCTCTCTGCTGCGCCTCTTTTTGCAGTCATGGACTGACATTTAGTTAGGTCCATCTGTGAGAGTGCACACTGATGCTGCGTAGGAGGGAAACCTAGAAGGTTGCGGCGGCAGTGCAGTAATAATGCCTTTCAGATGCTCTGTTCGCTGCGGTTAACTCACATCTGTGGCCTTCTTCTCCGACAGCTCCAGTTTCTCCTGAGCATCCTTTAGGGCCTCGGAGAACTTGTCCAGCTCATCCTCCGTTCCCTTCAGCTTCTTCTGCAGTGCAAGCAGGTCGTCCTCCAGCTGAAAGGAGACAAAAGAGGTGTTAGGTCTGAAACTTAACAAATATATTATCACTCGCCAGCGAAAGGTGAAGGCAGACGAAAATGTTTTTCTGTTTTCAAAATATCTCATGAATCACTGAGCAAGTTTTAAAGAAACTTGGAGAAAGTAATCAGTATACTGTATTTTTTGGATTAAGTCAAATTTATTCACAGTAACTCTCAACATTGTTCAGTTGTAACATAAAATCTGTTCAAGGTCAATAAGCACAACCATAATTAATACATAAGGCGCACCGGATTATAAGGCTCACTGTCGATTTTCGAGAAAATTAAAGGATTTTAAGTGCGTCTTATAGTCTGAGAAATACGATAGTTGATTAACCTTTGGAGTCAGTATGATTTAAGATGGCTGCCACAGCCAAATGAGCTCCAAAATAATAAAAACGGTGATACGTCAATCAATTTTACAGATATGGACCTAAAATTTGGTGTGGCTGACGATGATTTAGAGTTTTCTTGATAAATTTTATGACAACAAGAATGAACAAAAAGGAAAAAATGTTCAGTCAGGTCATCTGGATGGTTTCTTTTTTTGCTGAGACGTTTTGTCCTTCATCCAAAGGACTTCGTCAGTCCGAGGAGCCACGAACAAACTGAGTCCCGCAAGCAGCCCACTCCCATAGTAGGAAAAAAAAAACAATCTGGTGATAAGATTCAATTCAGTTCAGTTTATATATATATAGTGCCAAGTCACAACAGAAGTCTGGGGCCTGCCCTCTCCACCGTCAACTCCTGAACTTTGATGTTTTGAACCAATTGGGCTATGGCTGCCTCAGAGGAGTTGACGGGGGAGAGGGCGGGCCCCAGAAACCATCTTATCACCTGCAAACTGGTTGGCCCATTATGTGAGTGTGCTGCTTGTGGGACTCAGTTTGTTTGTGGCTCCTCATACTGATGAAGTCCTTTGGATGAAGGACGAAACGTCTCAGCAAAAAAGAAACCGTCCAGATGACCTGACTGAACATTGTTGGATTTTTACCTGGATTATTGAGCATGAACATGGATTAAAAAAAAATGTTTTCTTATCGCATGTAATAATGATTTAATTTCTTAAAAAAACAAACAAAATAAACGTTCATTGTTGACGTTGTTAATGATTTTTTTCTAAATTCACAAGACAAAAATTAAAAAAAAGTCTGGGTTTCATTAAAACTCATTGTTCAACCAAACAAGAATGCCAGTTCAATAATCAGCGATGGTTAAAAACAAAAGTTTTGCATTTGCTCCCCGTGATTGATCGTGCTGTCAACAGTTTAACGAGCAGGAACCATTTACCAAACTGTCTGTGGTCTATCAAGACTAACTGGGGCATTCTGTCTGAAAACATGCACATCCCGTGAATTTTCTGAATTCTTCAGCAATTTGGGTTACCCACTCCTCTAATTATCGCTGGAGTCAACGCCTGGCATTCTGTGTAATAAGAGGCTGATATTGCACATCAGTCTTTGTATATTTTCAGTTTCCCGTCAGTCCGACTGCACTCTGCTCGACTCGTCTTGCCAAGAATAGCAAAGAAAGGGCCTCTTTGCGCCGCTTGCATCTCGGCTATGTTAACGAACTGAAGAGCTCTGCATAATCGTCTAGGATTTCACGCTGACTTCTCAACGATGCACAAGACACGGTGATGGTCCATATGCGCAGTGCCAGTGACGAGTGTCACCGCTTGAGCTCTGTGAGGACGTGTCTAGAGCACCAGAGGGAGGATTCTTTCCACTTGCTTTAATGTAGACCCTGTGAGCCTCTTCAGCTCCCAACCATAATGATGACATCGCCTCTTAACTGCGCAGTAAAGTTTGTGAATGTTTGGAAACCTCAAGTCTTCAGAGCCTACTTTGTTTGTATCAAATGGGATAAGTACAGTGTCATTAAGTTAAGCTTGGAAATAAGCTCACGGAGGCTTGAGCAGCACCAAATATGGACTCTTGGGTTCTGCTGGGTGTTCTTCTCAAACCTCAATGCAGATAAGGATGCTGAGCGGCTCCGGCCAAAAAGGAGAAATGAGGTGCTTTGTTTCCTGCAGCACTCATTTTGTTGCTTCATATATAATTCCTTTAATTCTCTGTAAATTCAGCAGTCATGGATATGATGCTTCAAATCCCTGTAGACGTTCTTCAGTTCCTTCTCTCTGCTAAGAGGCTCACAGCTGCTCATTTTAATTCAGTAGAAAAATACTTGATGTTTTTTTGATTTACCCCAATCTTAACTTTTACATTAGCTTTAATTAAGCTATTTATTGTCTATTTTTGACCAGTTTCGGATTATAATTGATTTGAATGTTGATATTTTGAGCTGACTGTATTTTTCGGACTATAAGACGCACTTAAAATCCTCTAATTTTCTTTAAAATCGACAGTGAGCCTTATAATCAGGTGCGCCTTATGTATTAGTTCTGGTTGTGCTTAGTGACCTCGAACTGATTTTAAGTGCTTTTTGTGTATGAGTTGAATAAAGTTTGACTTCTCAGACTGTTTTGTTTCACTTAATGCACCTTATGAAAACAGACCTGTTCCTTGATATTGCGCCTTATAATCCTGGTGCGCCTTATAGTCTGAAAAATACGGTACTTGTTAAATTTAGAAATGTTTTTTATAAAATAGGAGCTAAATTGTCATTTTTAAGTTATCAAAAGACATAAAAATAAACTTTAAAAAGAGAGCATATACCTTATGTCTATATAACTATTCTGAAAGGTTTATTCATTAATTTATGCATCAAATGATCAAATATTGACAAAAATATGAGATTTCTTATATTAGCAGATACGTTTTTTGAACTAGTCATTGGAATTGCAGTAGAATGTAAATTTATCATGAAAATGCTCTGAGTTCATCCATTTTTATAATTTTTTTTTTTAAATCTCGTGATGTATCTTCATTTAGTTAATTAAAGTTTAAATGAGTTCATTCATCCTGTGAGTGTCTCACCTGCTTGCATTTATCCTCCGCAGCCTTCTTGTCTGTCTCTGCCTGCTCCGCCCTGTCGATGGCGTTCTCCTTGTCCAACTTCAGCATCTGCATCTTCTTCTTGATGGCCTCCATGGTGGCAGCTGGCGCTCGGTGTCCTGCGGGCCTCACACAAAATAAAACAGGAGAGTTTTTACTTTCTTGTTTTGCTTCAGAGCAAGACGCCTCTGAGGAGCCCTCGAAAGGTTGACGGTGGAGCTCAACAAGCAGATGCAGAGAAGAGGAGGCTGCTGGACAGAGGAGGATGCAAGAGTCGGTGGAGCTCGGTGTGGTCTAAACTTGACTGGAGGTTTTGGAGGCAGCTCCGGTCCCCAGTGACAGCCCTTTCTCACCCGTTCACCCCTTCTGCCACTCCCCGCCTTGACTCCTCTACTGCCCCCCTCCCCTCTTTTTCTAATCTAAACTTCACCTCTCCAAGGCTTCTTGGAGGAAATACTTGATGATGCTTAGGCGATGGTCATGTCTGGAGAAGAATAGCAGAGAAATAGATCCAGAATTCAGTCATCATTGATGTTTTTTCTTTCTCCTTTTGGTCCATCTACCGGTATATGTCATGGGTTCTTAGGAATGTTCAAACTGATGGTAATACCAGAGTTGGTTAGAAAGGACATAGTTTTCATTTCAGTGCTGAAAGAGAAAAGGCTGCACGGAAAATAATTTAGCCAAAAAAAATTTAGTGGGAAGAGATGTCTGTATGTGATCAGGCAGGAGGAGCTGCACAGACATGGACCACAGAGCCACTGAAATTAAGATCCTCTTAATTACTGCTGGTTTGAAAGACACATTTAAGTCAGATTTTCCTGAGATTTGTGAGGTGAATAAGAAAAAAAAATAAAATTCCAGACATCAGAGACTAACTTCAGGAATATGTTTTCAGGTGTTTGCAAATGGGACAATTATACAAATGTCACACAGATGGGAAGAAAAGCAAGAAACAGAAATCAAATGTTGATGTTTCAGTTCATATTTTGCAACGTAGGATTGTTCTGGGTGTAAAACCAGAGCCGTTCATGTGTTTGTTGGTGACATCTGCTTTGGTGAACTGTCTTTGGTGAACTTGTCTATGCCTTCAGCTCCTTTGGGCCAGCTGTCCAGGCTAAAAATATAGAATACTGTATTTTTTGGACTATAAGGCGCACTTAAAACCCTTTAATTTTCTCAAAAACCAACAGTGAGCCTTATAATCCGGTGCGCCTTATGTATTAATCCTGGTTGTGCTTACTGACTTTGAACCGACTTTATGTGGTACACGCTGCTCAAAAATCTGTCAAAATGTTTTGGTTTTGCTTAATGCGCCTTATAATTCGGTGCGCCTTATAGTCCGAAAAATACGACAGAAACCCAGAGAACAGCACAGTGATGATTATGCAGCATATATTCAGTCTACATTTTAAATCTTTAACAAGTGCATTAGTTTTTTTTTCTCATGCTGCATTGATGTTTTTACAGAATATCAACTTATATAATTTCTTACACAAACACTAGCTAGACTTTACTTCATTGCAGACAGTATTGCATGGGAGGAAAAAACTTGGAACCAAACTTTTAAAATGTGTTGTTTATTCTTGACATACTTTGAATAAAATACAAGAGTAAGGAGTTTTGAGCCTGCATAGTTAGAAAACTAAAAGGACTTTTTTTTTTTAGCTTAACCTCTTGCAGATTCATAATTTGATGCAGGATGTTTGTTTGGACACCTCACATCAACAGATACTTAAAGAAGTATTTGAATTACGTCACACAAACGCCTGAAAAATTCTTTGTACCTGTGTTTTAAATATTTGGCTTCCCAGAATTCTCCCTGAGGAACCCCATCAAACTGAACTGAAGGAGATTCTAGACGCACAAATCTTCTGCTTCCTTTTAAAGAGCCAGCTTTTAGTGCGAGTTGAAAACGAGAACTTACTTCAACCGAAGAAGGAATCGGCCGTTTGCTTTCTGAAAGTGAAGGCAGTTTGATGGCTGTCATACCTCACATGTTCACATCAGGACACTGAATGGCACCATTAGTGCATCTTTTTAGGTTTGTCAAGATACCGCCTGTGTGTTTCCATGTTTCACAAAAAGTTTATTGAAAGAGCAATAATGCTTTTACACATTTCTGTGTGTGTGTTCGTTTGTCTGCTCCGCCAACAAAATATCTTACTCGATGGAACAAAACTCCTGAAACGTAACCACAGAATGCACTTCTACAATTGATTAACTTTTGGAGTCAACCCAGTTCAACATGGTCATGGCTATGTAACCTTAATAAACACAAAAACAGTAAAAATGTAGCCATTTTCACAGATTGTGAGCTAAAATTTGGCATGCTTGCAGCAGAAAGTTACCCCTAACACAAACTATTATTTGATTTTATAACATTTTAACTATTGGAGTCAATGATCAGCAGCAACATGATGTAAAAAACACATCATGTTGCTGCTGATCTACAGTATTTCATGTTGCTGTGTTCATTCGTGCTCATCTGCTCACGCAGACTCATGTTTGTGCTGCTGTTCGGCGTATTGTTTTTATGCTATTAGTGCTTAGCACATTTTTAGTTAACGCTTTTCTTAGTTCATATCTTAGATGTTATCATTGTTTTTCTTTTACATTTTATTGTTGGATGTAACTGGGACCCTGTGTACACAATTTTGTTCCACCACATGTACCACATGTGGTGCGAATGACAAATAAAGAAACTCTGACTCTGACTTTTGCCTGTTGGCAAAATATCTCAGGGACCACTGGATGTATTTTATAGAAACTTACAAAAAGTAATAACGGGATGTAAATCTACAATTTACATTTGTTGTCAACCCAGTTCAAAATAGCTGCAACAGCTAATCGACTGTAGCTACAACAAAAATGGCTGTGAGCTAAGCAATTTTACAGACATACAGCCAAATCCAGTAGTAGATACTCGTCCCTAATATATTGGTTAGACACAGGGTTATTCCACAAAACTGCTCAGTGGGCCACAGTTTCCGAAAGCCAACAACTCGGGGGGCGGACATCCAGTGATAAAAATCATTATGTAAATAACCAAAGTTTACAATGATCTATTACCCTTTAAATTTGTTTAATTTATTGCATTGACTCATAAATGCAATAAACAGAACCCAAAACCCAAACCCTGAATTATAAATAATTTTTATTTTTTTATGAAGTGGGCCGGATTGAAGTCACTCACGGGGCCGGAAATGGCCCACGGGCCGCCAATTGAATACCCCTGTTGTATACTGTTGGAGTTACACCTCACAAGATCTCACAGTATCACATGCTTTCATGATTAATATTACTTACAAAGTTTGATAAACTTGCTCATCGTGAATTTTTTATTTATTTAAAACTTTGGCATGAAAGGCGATGGGCGATATGCATTCCTTCAAGGAATGCTAGAACTTTTTTTTAGTAAGAGCTTTTGCTTGGTGAAGCTTATTCAGGTCTGAGTATGGGATGAGTGTGTAACAAGAAGAGGAAGAAACAGAGACAGAGCGAAATCAGAACCCTCCCACAGGAAACCAAGCTAAACTCCTCTTCTCCTTCTATGGTAAAAACTCCCCCAAACGCCACCGCGTCGCCTTGGGAGTAGAGTCAAAGTTCTGCTAAGTATAAATCACAAAGCTATGAGAATGGTGGAACAGACCAGACTTCATATGAACACTTCCAAGAGGAAGAGAAACAGGTTCTGAATGTCAGCCGTGGCTCAGAATATCCAGTTTTACTCACAGAAACGATCAGGAGGCAATCATGTCGACATTTTTCCAATTTGCTGTAGAAATATTAACACATGTGAGTAATAATGTAACACCTGTTTGATACACTGACTCACCAAGTGTATTTGTCAAAGCAAACCCTGGGAACCGTTTCAGCTCTAAGGTTTCTGCACAAACATGTCTGTGAACAACACAGCAGCAGGAGCCAAATGCTGAGCAAAAGATAACAATTTGTCAACTTGTAACTATCTTTACTGAGACAGGATTAATTGATTTTACTTGTGTGAGCATGGCGTTACCTTTGTAACAACTGTTGGGTGTGTTAGGGTCTATTTGAATGGCTGATAAGTGTTATTTAAATGATAAAATAAATGTTTGTGTTTAATTTTATGTTCTTCTTTGCTGTGAAATAGAAACACAAGTTGTGTTGCTGTAAGATAAAATGCATGGAACATATCAACAAGACTATAAATGTTTTCATCTGATAAGCCAAAAACAGAGAGAGCAGATCATTTAAAGATTACAGAGTCTGACATAATACAAAATAAGCTCAGGTACAGGAAATACTGACCGAAAAAAAAAAAAGAGAGATGCAGACGTGATGCTAAGACAAAATAAATCGAATCAAACCAGGAATGAAACTCCAAGAAGTTATAAAACAATAGCAAATGTTTAAATTTAAATGTACAGAACTACACAGTTCAGAGCAATGGAAAGAAAAGATCAGATTAGAAAAATCACACAAAAATGCACCTAACACTGTGCCAGAGGGTTAATCTAAAAAGTATTTTAATGCTAAGCTTCTAATAATAAGCAATCCAGTGTGTTAAAATACACTGACATATTAAGTGCTTTATATAGATGCATGAAGCAAAAAAAAAAAACAGTTCTACTTAAATTTCAAGTGTTTTATTTTCTTCGATGATCTCAGTGTTTGTTTATTAGATGCCATGTGAGATTTACAAAAAGCAGGATGGTCACATGCTTTAGGTTTAACAGATGCTTGACAGGAATCTGGACAGAAAAACGTCAGAATTTATTTACTTTGAGGAGCTGCACATTTAGCAAAGTCTATGTAACACATTTATTGTAACAATGATCTAATATGTCAATAAATAAGTTGGTGCTGTTTTGCATTAATTGTTATACGATTGGAAAAAAGTTCAATGCTAAATATATAGAGGAACTATAAAACAGAATAATGAAAACAACAGTCATCAAAACCTAAAATCTACATATTTATTTTGTTGTTTGAAACAGAATGGAGAAATTTTCAATTCAATTCAGTTTATTTATAATAACCAAATCACAAATGAAGTCATTTCAGGGCACTGTACAGAACAAGTGAACAACATTATTTATCTGAGGAGCAGACTGCTTTGACTTTTTTGAGTTTGAGTGCTTTGAGAAAATAAAGAAAAGTGTTTAATTTCGACATGTTGATCATTCTTATAACATAATCCAAATTAAAACCGTTGTTACACTAGACAGTAAAAGTAAAATGCTGTAAAAAGTGAAAGTGGAAATATAAATTCCAAGTCTGGTGAGAGCGCTGTTCCATTTCAGCAAACAAGAGATCAGATTACAACACGAAAAAACAATGCATTTCTACTTGTGATGGTGGCACCACGATAACGGTGCACTGCTCAGGCAGGTTTCTGGGTACACTTGTAAACAGAGCTGAAAAATATATATTTTTAAAATGCACCAAGAAAAGTTTAAACACGTTGAGATTAAACGTAGTCCTTGTGTTTTCTTGTCATAAACATGACACAGTTCACGAAACACAATGCCAGTTAATTAACCATATAAGTGCCCATCACATTTATTGACAGCTTAATGTGAAAACAGACATTTTCAACTGAATTTAAAATGTAAAATAATAAAATACAATATTATTATTAATAATATTAATGATAATAATAATAATAATAATAATAACAACAATAATAATAATAATAATAATATTTATTATTATTAATAATAATATTATTATTAATTATTATTATTAATATGTGTTTGTAGTTAGTCCCTCTGGTCCATAGGGGGCGCACGTTCGAGATACCGAGAAAACGATAACTTCCTTTTCGGGATTATGAATGGAAAAGCTGATATTTTATGTGTCCCGTAAACCTCAGATTATAAAATATTATCCGAGAGGTTTTTTTAAAACGAGCTAAGTTATAAAGTAGTTCAAGATGTCTGCTAGCGCTGTGTATGTCCTGGATTTAAAAGGAAAGGTAAGATAACGGAACGTCGCTGCTAAGCTAGCGTTAGCCTAGCCTGCATCCTGCTAGTTTTCGAACAAACTAAGAAGATGTGGCAGCGACGACAGCATAAACAACGTTTTGCTTTGTTAATGGTTGGACTTTTAACAAAAGTCGGTTTACACTTAAAGGAGTCGTATCATGTTTACAGCTAGAGGGCAAGTTTAACAAGATTTAATCCATCTGGCTGACCATCAGGTGACCAGCTGTTAGCCAAAACGCCATTCCAAACCTCCATATGAAATCTGCAACACTTAGTTTACCACTTATAAAGTAGTAAATAAATAGTTTCACCATTCTTGCACAGCCTTTTCTTAAACCACGACCGTCTTCTGTTGAATTCGGCTTAGAAGTTGTCATGAATCATTTCTAAATCTTAAGGACTAATTTATTATAGTTACGTGTGTTTGTGTTTTCTCAAATGTGGCAATGATAAAACAAGTTCCATAGTTTTACGTCAAGATTAAACGAACAATTAAAAACAATGTGTCATTGTTTAGGTACACTGCCACATGTCTTTCTTTGTGCCATATGGATTAAAAATACTCGTGATTCCAAGTAAAAATTTAACTTATGCAAGAAGATACTTTTAATATCAACATTTGTTTTGTAAATACTTGCAAGAGCCTTTAGATAAATTCTTAAAAATATAAACTTTTCAGCAAATCCGTTTTTAGACTCTGGTGGAATTGCTCTGTTGCAGCAATAGGAGTACACTGAATATGAAACCTGTTTGAGATTAGATGTGAAAATAAAAATACACAAATCAAATGCATATATATAGACACAAATATTAATATATAAATATATACAAAAATAAGTAAACAAGAAAAACAAATTAGAGAGTATAATGGAGGAGTTTGTACAAAAGCTGTTGCAGATTACAGTTACTGCACTTTAAACATTAGATGAGCACAGATAAAGGAATAATGGCCTATTGGGTTGTTGGCAATTGAAAGAGTTTAGTATGTAATCTACTAAATATTCATTAATGGTAAAATATTTCCTCTCAGTAGCAACAAGAGTCCTGATTAGCATTAATTATGTTCCTATGTGTGCGCTGATGGATTTGTTTTAAAGTAGACAAGATGTTGAACAGGCTTCCATGAAAATTTTGACAGCTAGAATTTATGATTATTAGTTTTCTGTTGTATAACATTTTTGTAACGTTATAAAAATCTTTCACAAACAAACCTGAATAGTTGTACACTCTTAATGGATAGCTGCTCCTTTCAGGTCCTGGTGTGCCGAAATTATCGGGGAGATGTGGACATGTCCGAGATTGAGCACTTCATGTCCCTTCTGATGGACAAAGAGGAGGAGGGGACGCTCTCTCCAATCCTGGCTCACGGCGGAGTCCGTTTTATGTGGATCAAACACAATAATCTTTACTGTATCCTTACTGTTCACAGTACTATATTCACACCCAGGCTTATTTGTTCTTTTCTGTGTGGTATTTCACAATCTCTGCTTATAGAAGACAAGTGCTGATTGTGTTTGATGTAATGGTTTTGGAGTCAAATTGATAACGCATATTGTTTCATATTAATTCTGTACAAGTTTCCTTCTTTGTAACTACAATTCTTAACCAGAATCACCTCAGTGGTTGCAACATCCAAGAAAAATGCCAGTGTCTCACTGGTTTTCTCCTTCTTGTATAAAATTGTCCAGGTAGGAGTAAGACTCAGCTAAAGCAGAGCGTTCTTAGCCCTACTAAACCACATATTTACACTATCTTAACAGATTTTTAAACCAGACTTTGTTTTCTGCAGGTGTTTTCGGAGTATTTCAAAGAGCTGGAGGAAGAGAGCATTAGAGATAACTTTGTCATCATATACGAGCTGATGGATGAGCTGATGGACTTTGGTTACCCTCAAACCACCGACAGCAAGATTCTGCAAGAGTAAGTCTCCTCATAGTTGCAGTCTCACTGTTTTTAACTTCAGATTCATGTTCTGGAGAAGAAACTAATGCATCGTTTTCACCTTTCTCAAACACATGTAGTTATCTAAATGTACTTAACAGTAAATCTGTAGAATAAAGTAAACAATAGTGTTTTTTTTTTAAACATTTCAATTGTTTTTCAGTTGTAAATGTTGATCATTTAACTTTTTTATAATTTAGTGCAGACTTATCTGAAACAGCATTTTGAGTTGTGGTGTTAGGATTATAGACCTTTTATGCAATAATTAAATTTAAAGTCTGTCATGTTGAAGAAAAGGTCAACTCAATGTTGTATCCATATAATTTTTTAGTAAATGTTGAAATACAGGAAAAACGAGAACAATTGTTGTTTTGTTACCTAAGAAAAATTCATAAATGCTTACGTAAGTGTATTTAGGGCAGCACGGTGGCGCAACTGGTAGAGCTGCTGCCTCTCAGTGAGCAGGTTCAAATCCCAGTCCAGGGGCCTTTCTGGGTGGAGTTTGCATGTTCTCTCCGTGCATGCATGGGTTTTCTCCGGGTACTCTGGTTTCCTCCCACAAACCAAAAACATGCATGTTAGACTGACTGGTAACTCTAAATTGTCCCTAGGTGTGAGTGAGAGAGTGCATGGTTGTTTGTCTCGTTTGTCTCTATGTGTCCCTGTGATGGACTGGAGACCTGTCAGGGTGTCCCCCCACCTCCTGCACAGTGATGGCTGGACATGTGTACCAGTGATCCCCTCGACCCAAAAAAGGAAGAAGCGGGTAAAAGATAATGGATGGATGGATTTATATTTACTTGCGTATATGTATTTACTTACAGTGTGAGGTATTTTTCAGTCTTTCCATCTTTTTTGTTCTTACTGGCCCTGGCGATAAACATTAATTAAAAAATATAATAATATGATTTTATCTACATAATGGTGGGAATTGTGTTAATTGCACTTGTGCAACTTCCTCACTAGATGTCACTAATTTGTAAACATTTTCCCTCTGTCTTTTTTTGCCTTTTGTAAAACAGTATTTTCCGGTCATTTCTGTGTCTTCAAGGCAAACAGAGTTCATTGTCTGACATTATGAGCTCTAAATGACTGTTTACATAAATTTGGAGGAAGACGATATGTGCTGTGCTAATTTTGGATACCTTTCCCCCCATAGTTCTTTGAGCTCAGTAGATTAATAAATCATTTAATCCTCCTTTGTAACCACAGGAGTCTCCGTTCTTTGATTCCTTCTGGGGGACGCACAGCCGCAGACAGTTCATTTCCTCTTTTCCTTGTTTTTTACGTTTGTGCTTCCATTGTTTCCTCTCAGATACATAACCCAGGAGGGGCACAAGCTAGACACCGGTGCCCCACGACCCCCCGCCACAGTCACTAATGCCGTCTCCTGGAGGTCAGAGGGTATCAAGTACAGGAAGAATGAGGTCTTCCTGGACGTCATTGAGTCAGTCAACCTTCTGGTAGGAGCTTCTTGTTTAAAAAGTCGAACAAGGAATGTCAGTAACAGTGACTATTTCCTCCCTGTGTGTGTGTCACAACACTCAGTCAGGCTGGTTGAGCTTGTATTTTTCTTTTCAAGTAATTTTTTTTATGGATAACACTTTGAGTGGGTTTCTCTGTCTCCTGACCTCCTGACTTGTTGAATCTCCTTATCTTTCAGGTTAGTGCCAATGGGAATGTCTTGCGTAGTGAGATTGTTGGCTCCATTAAGATGCGTGTTTTCCTGTCTGGGATGCCAGAGTTGCGTCTGGGTCTAAATGACAAAGTTCTGTTCGAAAACACGGGACGTAAGTTTGTTTTTTGTTATACCATGCCCATCTGTTATTAACAGTAATTTGTTGCTTATGAAACCAATTCACAAAGTATGTAAAACAATTCTGTGTTGTAATTAATTCATTCACGTGCTTGTGTCGCATCATATTTTATATCATTAGTTATATTGCTTATTTTCGTTTCAGGAGGGAAGAGTAAATCAGTTGAGCTGGAAGACGTCAAGTTTCATCAATGTGTCCGCCTGTCTCGCTTCGAGAACGACCGAACCATCTCCTTCATTCCTCCAGATGGAGAGTTTGAGCTGATGTCTTACCGCCTAAACACTCATGTGAGTAATCTGTCCGAACCTCCAGCGTAGTCGGAGAAAACGAGTCCAAACAAGGGTGTCCAAATCAAAATACGAATACCTTTTTAATTTAGGTCAGCAAGTAATAAGTATTTAACACAGACTGCTGGTGTACAACTTCTGACTTCACAGGAACTAGATTTTAAATTAGGTTCAGATAGATTCAAAGTACATAATTTGAAATACTGAACTAGGTTTGCAGATTAACTAGTTAAAATTACTCACGTTTTGTAAACTAAATGCATAAAATGTGTAAAATAGTTGCTTTATCAGTTTGCTTTTAGCTTCATGTCATAACTTTACATTTGTTTGCTTCCCTTCATTTTGAACAAGAAAACAAGAACAACCTTAGATAAAAAAAAAAAAAAAGATAGGTTTATTTGTCATATGCAAAATCAACACAAGGTCAACAATGCAATGAAATGCTTAGGACGAGAAGAACCATCTCGACTCGCCAAAAAAAAACAACAACAAAAAAACCCCAAGAAATATCAAAGCATGCAGCAAAAATACTAAAAAATACTACTAACATACTTAAAAAACATATAAACAATTCTACTAACATACAAAAAAACCCAAATACTACTAAATTACAAAAAAATATATAAAAAATTCTACTAACATACAAAAAAAAATACTACTAACATACTAAAAAATATATATAAAAAATACTACTAAAATACTAAAAAACAAGGCACCAATGTTGAAATACATATACAGTGTCATTCGGTTAGCAGTAAGGTCCTCTTAGCAGATCCAGTCAGCAGCTTGATGGTAATGAGGACCGCAGCAGTTGCCCTCACAGACCGCAGTCCAGAACCGAGTCCGGCAGATAGAGAACATCCAAGGTTTACCTTAACACACCTAGGTACACTTAAATAGAAATGTGTTTGCGTAGGAAAAATATGTAGATTTTTGGCTTGTTAAATGATTTAATTCCTTATAGAAGTAACTTGTTGAAGAGAAAACATCTATCATTTTTCCTCAGTTAACAGATAAACAAATATGTCTTTTCTTGTAACATATCCAAGTTGGGTCAACATGATCTGTTAGGATTTACTCAATTTAATTTGCTTTTATCTTAATTGTTTTGCTTTAATTAGTTTTAAATTCCTTGTTAAATGATTCAACATGTCTTTTGTCAATTTTGTTCAAATCTATTTTGCTTCAATTAATCTGTTTTTATGTATTAAATAAGTCTGACACAAAAACACAAAGTACCTGTTTGTACAATAAGTTGCATTTTTTTACACTGAAGGTTTAAACTTGTGTTGATAAAACATTAATGATTCTGATTATACTTAATAAGAAATTACCAGTGAAATTTATTTTGACCAACTCCAATAAAAAAAAGTCAAGACAGACCTAACAATAAATAAATAAATAAATACTACTTAAATCCTTCTTTTATTTGGGGAGTGGTGGTGCAGAGGTTAGAGAAGGTGGGCCTATGATAAGAGCGTCGCCGGTTCGATTCCCCAGACCGACAACATCAAAATGCAGGTGGAAAAGGTGAAAACACCCACACCTGCCTCCACCCTCACTTGCCCCACCCTGGGCCCCTGAACAAGGCTCTTAACCCCCACCATCTGCTCCCAAACAGGTCTCTCTTGAAAATGAGTCTTCATGACTCATTGAGACTACCTGTATAAATAAAGGTTAAAAATAAAAATAAAATCCATATGTTTGTGTGAAAAAAATCCACACATTTTATAATTTAACTTTTCTTTTTTGAATGTGGATGATTTTTTTTGTTATTGTAGTTTTGTTTTAACTTGAATATATTAATGCTTTGAAAATCAAGTAAAAGTCAGGACTTGTAGTGTTTTAGATACATTTACTTATAAATCATTTTGCATGATGTTATTGTTTACAAATTTTGTTTTGCGTTTTAGATTTTATCAGCAAAGATTTTACACCAACATCAATTTCTCTGAATTTAAATATTACTATCACACTATTTTGCTTTTTTTTTTCTTGGTAGCAGTGAACAAAAAGCTTATTTATCTCATTTTCTTTGTCGCTTGTTGTAGTACCAGGAGCTGCCCACTAAGTGGCGACACTGACATGTTGTTTAACTAGCAGACCCTTCACATGTATAAATGGCAAAATCTTGGACTTTGCTGAACTTAATGCCTTATTTGTCTCACAGGTGAAGCCCTTGATCTGGATCGAGTCCGTCATTGAGAAGCACTCTCACAGTCGGATCGAGTACATGATTAAGGTTTGTTGCTTTTTCAGTTCATGGATTGGCTGCACTGTCTTGCAGCTAAACTTGTTGCACTTTAGTTCCAGGATTCATGAAAAGAAACAAAAACAACAAAAGATTTGTCTCTAGTACACTTCTTTCTGGCTTACAGTGTGTTCTCTTGCGTTTCAAAGTGTACAGCGTTGATTCTGAGACTTATTTAGCCGTGTGTCTTCCTGTCAAAACTGACAGTCCCGGCTATACGGTGCTTACGTAAAACAACAGTTCAAGTCCCACTGCAATACCTGGTTAAGGCAGCACGTTGTGTTAAACTTGTCCTGCCTGTTTTTGTTTCGTAGGCAAAGAGCCAGTTCAAGAGGCGCTCCACAGCCAACAACGTGGAGATTCACATTCCTGTGCCAACGGATGCTGACTCACCCAAATTCAAGACCACAGTGGGCAGCGTGAAGTGGGTGCCAGAGAACAGTGAGATCGTCTGGTCAATCAAGTCTTTCCCCGTGAGTTCAAAACGGGACTCGAGTTTCACACTGACAACTTGTTTCATTGAATTATCTTTGTTTATTTTGTTTCTAGCAACTATTTACTCTGTAACTGGGAACTTAGCTGTCAGTGTTATCAATATTTGTTTCCAAAATGACAAAGCACACAATGAAAAACAGCTAGTTTGTTAATATTTCTGGTACAATAATGGAAAAAAAAATGTGTTGCAACTTGTCACACAGGGAGGAAAGGAGTATTTGATGCGAGCTCACTTTGGTCTCCCGAGCGTAGAGGCTGAGGACAAAGAGGGGAAGCCACCAATCAGTGTCAAGTTTGAGATCCCGTATTTCACCACCTCAGGGATCCAGGTAGGTTCGACACTCATGACCTCGTGTCAAGCACTAATCCTCGAAAGACTGTGTCAAACCAGAACACAAAGGTTCAAAACACATTCACCAAATTTGTTCAGCCGGTCATAATAATAATCATAATAATATATTGTGGAGCACTTTTCTTAACAAAGTTACAAAGTGCTTTATAAGCAGAGTAGTTGGGACACGTGAATGCTAACTTTTACATTCACTGTACAGCCTAAAGCTTTCTGTATATATACTTTCTGTTATTCTGTATGTTAGTTTTATTTCCACATCTTTTCCTTTTTAGTACTTTTGTCTTGTTTTTGGCCAGAGGGGGCATTATAGGAGCACAGTTAAACTCCCACTGTAGTAAAACTCTGCTGTTGCAACAACCTGAAAATGCAGCTGCTCATCAACTTGAACTTGGCCCTCCATTTTTTTATCTTAATCACAGTGATATTAAATGTCACTCCTAGTACCAGGTTGGTAGATTAATTGGAGTTTGATTGTAATTTCCATGCAGCAGAAAGAGAGAGAAATTAATGTTTATATTTCATGTTTGCCTTATGCTGACCACAGAGTGACACACACGTGTTACGTTTACCGTATAATCACAGTTGTCCTGTGATTATATGTGTCGCTCCGCAACACAAAATTAAGTTTTCCCATGTCCTGGTGAGTGGAAACAAGGTTAACTTCATTCAGAATACATTTCTGCCAGAAATTAAACAGTGTACTTTGTGTTTTTATATAGTTCCCTGTTCAATGTTGATCTTATTCGGAGAAATTGTTTTGTAGATAATTGTCAGTATTTTCTCAGAGATCACAGTTTATTGTTTAAACTTTTCCTGTTTTACTGACTTTTCAGTAACTAGTAATGATAAACTTGCAGTTAGCTCTTCATAAACCCTGATGTGCTAACACACACATTTATGTCTCAACTTTATTAGTGTCTCTGGATGACTCATTAAAAGAGCAAGAGGACACATTTTCCTGCTTCCAAGCATTTCCCATCATCATCATCAATAAAACTTTATTAAGTTGTACAGATGTGACACAGCCCCCTCAGAAACAAGAAGGTCAAACTAAAGAAACTGATGTACAGAATTATTGTAAACAGGATTCTATCACAGACATTTGACAATTGAACGAAATAGCTCTTTAATCATTTTCATTTCTTTGTTCAAACTTGAATGAACTTGTTTGATAAGGAGGACGAGCATGAATTTTTGCAGGACTGAAGACAAGTTTTACTGACTTTGGATATTTCTGAGATGAAACATTAAAATATGGCATGTTTTAAAACATTAATTGGCATTGTAAATAACAGAATGCTGATTTACAACTTTATTAAAACCTTTTTTAAACTTATTAAAACCATTATACAAGTATAAATGCTAAAACGGCAAAATCTCAAAAGCGTACATGCGTTCTGAATTTAATTTAGGACCAAAATGATCGTTTTATTTTCTTCAAGATACCAACACAAAGTCGTTCATTGTAATGACCACTGCGGTCTCTGTTGAATATAGTTCTCACTGCTCGTGTGTTTTGGTATTGATCCTCTTTTTGTGGTTTTCTATAAACCTTTATGACTTGTCTCCAAACACAAGCGGGTTTCCGGTTCACTTCAATCTGGACACACCCTCCGAGTGTGCCTGCCGCAGTGATGAGAATGAGGCAGTTTTTGTTTCCTCTATTTGCTTAATCCTACTCAAATGTACCGTTTCTTTCTAATGGTCGTTGTAGTTTTAGTGTATGTGTTAACTGAAAAATCCTAATGGAAGATGAGCAGAAAAAGTTGTATTACTAGACAGAATTCATGTTGTATTCAAACATTCCATCTTTCCCATAAATAAACCTTTCAATATTTTTGTTTTGAGCTCTAAAAAGCAAGTTTAAAGTCAATATATTTGAGCTCAGTTACATTTTTGTGTTCAGGAAATCTGTCACACGATCATTTCTGAAACTCCTGTTAACGGATCAATATCTAGAGTGTTGTTGTTTTTCCTACTAATTTTATAACTTCCTGAAAGGAAGCCACCTGTAAAGGTCTGTTAGCAAAAAAACAAACTACACCCCAGGGATACATTTCTTGTTTTTAGGACCTAATATATTTCAGCAGAGTGCTGACGACCACTCAGTCTGGTTGGACTAATGATTTAACAAGATGAAACTTCTCACAACTTGCTCTGCCAGTAAGTGAAAGCTGAATTTATAGTTTTGCTTTTTAATATATATTAGTAAAGATAATTTGAGAAAAGAGGGAGGGGTGATGTCTAACTAGGATTCCGTTTAAGTGATCAACAGGACGGTTTTTTCCCATGTGATGGTGATGAAGCTCCCACCAACTCAGACATGTTCCCATCAAACTTTTGTACCAAGCGTGTGACCTTTTTCTTATTATAGAGCACCAACAGACTGGGTCTCAGACTCTAATGCAGCCAGCAACGCCACTCTACGTGTGAGAAGAGGCTGTGAAGTTTAATTAGACGCATGTAAATATCAAAGCATGAGAAAGTTTCTCTTAACTCCACCACTAAGTGCAGGGGAGCGCTCATGTGAAGTGCGTATGATGCACGTAACGCCACCGTATAAACTTAACCAGGAAACTGCGTAACCCCACACGCAGGCTGAGTGGCAATAAGATGTTTTATTTTCAAATGTTGCCTCTGTAGGTGAGAGAAGCCAAACAAGCTGGCAGCTGGATTTTGGTCCACAGCCTGATAAATCCAGACCACACATGCAGTCTGTACTTACCAAAGGAGATACTACAAACATCCTCCTTTCCCCTTCTCATCTTACAAGCCATAATGATATTTTGCGGGAGGTTGTCCTTTCATGCCGTTTTGCTGACTGCGTACCCACGGTCAGGCCGACTGCATGTTTGGCTGCGGGGCGCGAGGAGAAGTGCTGCGCCGGCAGACTCGGTGATCCTGCGTGTGTGTGTTTGTCGTCATGTCTTTGGTGACCACGGCGCGCTCTCGCTGTGACTTCACCGACGAGTGGAAGGTAATAACAAGGCAGTTGGTGCCGTGGCCCCTGCCAGAGCACTGCCGCTTCTTGATCAACAAATTCCAGCGCTGCCTGTCCTGATTTCAGATGGGAACACGGCAGCGTTTCCCATTGAGGGGTTATGTTGGCATTTTCACACAGAAAATTGCAACTGTGTTTTTATTTTTTTTTGCTGAGGATATCCATGGCTTGAAGTCAAAGATGGTGCAACAGTGTCTTTGTGTGTTTCATTTTGTCTAAACTGTTACCAAAATATCTCATGAACCACTTGATAGATTTTAATGAAACTCAGAAAGCAATCACTGATGCACATCTTCAACTGTTGTAACTTATCAGGTCAACCAAATTCAAGTTGGCCGCCACAGCTAAATGACAACAGACAATAAAAAAAAATGGCTGCACCTCTGTGACTTTTACAAATATTGAGCTAAAATTTAATGTGGTAGTAGCTGATGGTAATTCACAACATATACTCCAAGTGCTAACAGATCATAAATGGTAAATGGACTGTACTTATATAGCGCCTTTCTATCTTATCAAGACACTGAAAGCACTTTACACTACAATCTGTGCTCTCATTTACCCATTCATACAGCACTCTACTATACAAGACTAATCAGAGCTTTATCACATTCATACACTGACGGGACACACATCGGAGGCAATGAAGGGTTCAATGTCTTGCCCAGGGGCACTTCAGCATGCGACTGCTGGTGGAATCGAACCCCCAACTCATGCATTGGAGGATGACTGCTCTAACCACTCAGCCACAGCCACCCGTTTTATCATACAACTGTGCATGAGGTTGTGCATGTTTAAAAGAACCAAATAGCTCTGTCATTTCTCAGCATGAGAGAGGTTTTCAACCTTTTTGACCAAAAGAGCTATTTCTACCCCTTAAAATGTGTCTGGAGCCACAAAACCTGCCACAGCTGTGATTATCAACTGATGGCCCATGGGTCACTGAGTTTGTTGGAGTGAGGCTTTTCTGGCCAGTGGGGGTGACATTATAAAACTAAAATTATATCTTGAATTTTAACATTTATTGATATTTTTACTAGGGATACACAATATTATCGACATGGTAGCATATCGGCCAATTTTAGCGTTAAAGTTAAATATTGGACATCAATTCCATCAAACTAACTCGCTAATATAAAAGGCGCTGTTTTTGTATGACAACCCAGTGACAAGATGCCTGCAGCGCCAGCACAACGTGATGACGTCACGTGCACCTACCTGAACTGATCACAGCGGAGAGGAAGGTCAAAATGTTGGCGGTGTAGAAGTTTATTTTCCGTTGAGGATATTTGATTTAGAAGATTTTTGGACTAAGTTGAGTCTCGCTACTTCGTCCCCAGTCAGAGATATTTTTCCGATGTAGCCTTACCCGAGTTACAAGTCGTAATTTCCGACGTCATTGAGAAGCTAATAGCCGATAGCACTCGGGTGCAGTTTTACCACAGACATTTGGATGTGAAGTGTTAGCCCCGTTAGCAAGATTAGTCTTACGGCACAATGGATAGACAAAAACTTTGAATTTAAAAAGGCCGTCCTTCATGCACAGGAGTGCAGAGGATCCCACACTGCAGCTAGAAACCTGGAACAAGACTCCACAATGAGACAGCATCGCAGGTGACTAATGCTAATAAATAACGTTTAACACTTTTCATTTATTATAAGTTAAAGTGCTATGCATATCATATGGCTGTTACTGAATGTATGTCACCAACTTTTACAGCTGTTACACAATTTTTGTAGCAAATAAGCCTAAATAAGAGGGCTGTGTTCTGACAAAGGAAAGTATATAAAATATCGATATCGGTTATCGGCCAAATAATTTTAACACATCGGATATCGGCCAAAAATCCAATATCGTGCATCCCTAATTTTTACATTTTAAGACAAAAAAAAGACCATATCATGTAAAGAAGGAAAATAATTATAGTTTATACCGATTTTGATAAAAATTAAAACGCTGAACTCTACAGGCCTATGTGAGGAATTATAAACGAGTATCGGGCGGGGCTCTGATAGCTCGGTGGCCAGTGCCCCCCTCTTGCCATCCTGAGGTTGAGGGTTCGAGCCCAGGTTGTGTCAGGAAGGGTATCTGGCGTAAAACAAATTGTCAAATCTTTCTTGCCAGTGGTGACCCCTGAAGAAGGGAGCAGATGAAAGAAACTTGCTTCTAAGTTACTTACGACTTCAACAATTTCCTGCGGGATCAATAAAGTTCTTATCTTATCTTATATTATCTTATCTTATCTTATCATATCTTATCTTATCTTATCTTATCTAATCTTACTAGTAGTTATCTGGCAACAATTTGACAATAAAACTACCAAAAATAGCCTTTTCTGTTGTGGGTTTATAAAATCAACACAATTAAATTTCATTAAGTTTTGTTCAAAGCTTCAAAGAGCCACCGATGAGGGACTAAAGAGCCACATGTGGCCCCTGAGCCGCAGGTTGCAGACCCTTGTCTTGGACAAAAACTCTGGTATAAAAGGCAGCGGGCAGTATTTAAAAAGAATGCTAGGTCTTTGACAAAGTTTCAACTGCTGAATCCTAACGTAACCAGAGAAATTTGTTTCCTGTGTGAAATGCTAAGTTGTTTTACAAGTATATTGCTACCACAAGATGTAAAGTAATGTAATATCTCATCATTTACAAATACTACAAAACCATTAAGTTTCCTTTCCTTTTATTTCCTCACTTGATCGGAAAAAACTTTCTGCAATCATGTTTCAGGATTGTTAGAGAGGCAGGATATTTTTAGAGTTTGTTCTCGACATTGTGCTCTGTGGTAACACCGGGCAGCTGAAACATTGGTTAATGCCTTGTGAAAGTTGTATCTTAATTTTGCTGATGCAAACTTTTGATTTTGCTCCAAATACAAAAAAAAAAAAAAGCCCCTACAGTTATGTAAATGAACATAGTGTGTCCCTTGAATGCTGCTGTGTAGCTGCTTCCTTCTTCAGTGTGACTCATATTACTGCTTCCTCATCAGCAACACTTCTACTACTACAACTCACCACGAGCTTAAACGTGCACTCTACTCAAAATGTGTGTTTGGACTGTGAACACCTGCTGAATCAGATTAGCATCAGTTGACTTACATTAATTAATTACACATAATAAAGTTTCAGATTTTCTCTTTTTTTTGGCTGTTTCTTTCCTTTGGCAAACTTTATCGAATCAAACCGAACACAAATCAAAAAATAAAAGCATGCATTATACCTAAATATGGTTACTTTAGCTTCTTTAATCAGTTTTTATTTTCTCCTGGGTCGACTGGTTTGGTCTAAAGTCCAAGGACGAGCAGGTTAAGTGATTTTTTTTTCTTCTGTTTAGCTCTAAATTTCCTTCAGGTGTTTTTTCCTTAACCTGTTTCCCATCAAACATTCACACTGAGATTCACTGCATTCACCTGTGACCCTGCACAGCTTCAGCAGTTCAGATTATGAGTGAAAGCTGTTTTTTTAAGGCTATTTTTTCCTAATATCTGAAATTTCATGTCAATATCACTACAGCGTTGTCTTTTTTCCACATCAAACATGCTTGTAACAGCTTTTTCGTGGTAATTTGTGCCCTATTAGGTGCGTTACCTGAAGATCATTGAGAAGAGTGGATACCAGGCCCTGCCATGGGTGCGCTACATCACCCAAAATGGAGGTAGGTCAAGAGTTCAGCAGCGGCTGTACCAATAAGTTCAGGTATTAGGCAACAGTTGGGCAACGCAGTGCAACACGGTGGGAACTAACCTTGACCAGATTCAGTTCTATGAAAACGCGTTACACGAGGCAGTGTGGCAATGTCCTGCGAAATGTGAGAAAGTGAACTTTTCTTCTTCTGTGCTTCCCGCCCAATCATCACATTGAGATTACCGAGGTTGCACATGTTGCTCTTTTGGCTAATGTTGCAGCTAATTGCTAAATATCCTTATCTCATTTCCTTTGTATTTCATTTGATCTGAGCGGAAAGCATCAGCCGCCTCCACTAGATTTCTCTCAGATTCCCTCTTTTTCTTTGTCCATTTGATTAAGTCTTGTCAATTTCCTCCCCAGATTACCAGCTCCGGACCCAGTAGGCCGCGCCTCGGCAGGTGGACATCAAGGCGGGGTTGAGTCGAGCCGCTAATGTGCTGTCAATGGCAGGTGGCAGTCAGGAGCGCAGAGGACTGTCAGTATTTACTTTTGTCGTTTAGTTCTGTATTTGTTAAAGCTCTGTCCATTCATGATCAATGCAAGTGTTTAGATGGAGGCTTCAGTAGGTCAATGGTTGAAGAAAAATGAATGATGTAGACCAAGAAAAGCAGGAGTAACGTTTACAACCACTTTCACACAGCAGAGGTGTTCACAATCTATCCCTGTGGGTCAGATAGACTGAATGAATGTTACGTTTCTCATTTAAAGTTACTGTAATCACATGCACACAGGTCAGCAACACTCACTCACTCACTCACTCACAGTATGTTTTTTGTATGAAGCTGCCATGATTCCTGTTTGCTGATTATCTGTATATATTTGCTAAACGAATTAAATTCAGTGTTATCAGTTAAACAACTGTAAATCAAAACATTTTTCTTTTTGTATTATTACCTCCATATGATGCCATCGACACATGCCAAAGCATCGCCTTCGTGCTTGGTCGTTGTGCTTTTTGGGGGGTTTATTTGACTCAGCGTTCAGCTTCGCAAAAAAAAAAAAAATCCAACAGTTGAAGCTGCACTGAAATCACCCCGACGTCTGCTTTTCTTTTCTCTGTCTGTAACCGTGCTATTTTCAGCCATTAAATGTATATTTAGAGAAAACTATTCCATCATTTAGTCGCGTCATTATTTTGTGACGTCACCGTTGTCGTTGTGTTTGAGGAGGTCCGAATGAAAAGAATCCAGAGGAAGAGTTCCTCTTTCAGGTGTGCGGTTGGAGTTAACCCTGGCTGGGTAGTTCCACGTCATCCTGGTGGAAAGAACCATCGAAATAAGTGCAAGCGCTCCGTAAACAAGCGGGAGAACTGGAAAGGAAGTGACTTAAGCTGCGGTCAACAGTCACAGTTCGAAAGAAGACCCAGCACAAACCAGTTATTGTTCAAAGCCGAGCCAGACTGCAGAGTCCTGCATGAGGTCATTCCTCAAGTTTGTCCCGTAAAGAGGAGAGTGTGATACTCTTTATTTAATGTGAGTCACTGAGCAGGCATGGGTTTTATGAGGACTTGTTCATGGTGACAAGAAATACAAGATTTGTTCTTGGTACATGTTGGACCCGATTCTGTCATCGATGTTCCTGCTTTGTTTTCCTTCTGTTCAGAGTCGGCGTCACCTGGTTTTTGTTGGAACGCGCACACGGCAGGTGTGCCAAGTTTGGAAACGAGCCATGATTCACTTTTCTAAAGACAGAACGGCATGTTATCCAGGTCTCAATGTTCAAGATCAGTCTCGGGATAAAGCAAGTAACTAAAAGATGTGCATTACTGAAGATATCCTCTTATCGTCAACCATAATTATCCCTTCAGATTTGTGTTTTGGGTCTGAACGTGATAATTTAAATATTATTTTAAGGTCTGATTTAAAACTTTTAAATAGAATAAGGCACGTTTGATGAAAATATAAGTCCTGAAGGATGTATTTTTGAATTTGGAAGTATTTATTTGTTTGGGGATTTATTTGTAGACCTGGCTGATTTGCATAATCTCTAAATGAGTACCTGTGGGAAGCTCGTTGCCTCTGCCTGAGAACGCAAGCCTTATCTCTGCGATGACAGGTACGAGACTAGTAATAACATCTACTCAGACCAGATTAGCTTTATCTCGTCTGCGTTATGCTTTCAACTTGTTTCGGGTTGAGAAAGGTCTAGAAAAGAGGAGGGCCTGCTCGGCGTGGTACGATTACAGCTGTAAGTTGCATAATTGTTAAAGCATCTCCAGGCCAACGTGTGCTTTTTCTCACAGGGGCACAGTTTCTGTGATACTTGGCAGAGCGAGTTAATATAGTGTTTGGCTCATGATGAGAGGGGCACATTCAACCTCTGCAGAGTTGGAGGAAAGACCCGACATGCCTCATGTTTCAGAATTACTGAAGAGACGGCTGCAGGAAAACCCGCATGTACACACAAATATTTAACCCATTTATTCTTTAACATGAGGCGCAACATCACCTGAAAATTTAGTCCTTTCAAACATATACATCATGTGAGAGGAGACATTTTTATTTTCTGGGTTCAAAATGAAAAATGCATAAAAAGCAAATTAAATCTAAAGTTGGTAGTTCAAGATAGAGTTTTAGGCTAAGATCATCTTATGATGAGAAATGACAGCGTGAGCGCCGCTTTGATTACACCTTGAAAATATGTTTATTCTCGTGATATTTGAGCCATCTGTTTTCACTGTTGTCCCTCCAGTGTTTTATGAGATATTTTGCTAACGATACAGACACGGGCATCGACATTATCGCTCGCTGCCAAGATTTGTCATGTAAAAGGAGCCATTTTTTGGTATTTTGTTCAAAATACTTCTTGGAAAATTGTCTTTAAAAGAAAAAAAAATATATTGTTGTTGAGAATTATTAATATTTTATATCAACAGCCAATAATGTAATTGGTAAGGGTAGACCTGACTTAAGCTGTTCATATTTAATATTTTAATTAATAAATGTAGGGCGAAAAACACTTTTACCCCCAAAATGTGTTAAAATAGGTGTAGTCTGCATTTTAAACAAGGTTCTGACCTAATGCTTAGCTTTTTTACATGTACTTAAAATGAACAAACCAAACTATAAGTTGGTGGAACTTGTACATTTGCATCAAATTTCCATCTTGCCTCATAACGTCCAGCAGCCTTACGTCTTAAATGTTATAAATCATGGTTGTAATATTGGTGTTTTTACAGTAAGTATCATGGCAACTGCAAATAAAACTGTAAGAATAACTACTTTTTATCTAGTGCAAAAGCGCATAAATCAACAGGCAAATAAAAAAAACTTAACCTTTCCCTCGCAAAACATCATTTGGTTGCTATGCCGACGCTGCACTTTGGACACACAATTTATGGCAAATGTCTTAAAGTTGTTTCCGGCTATGGAAAATATCCTTGGTTACTCAACAGCCGTGAAGCAACAGGTAGAGATCGTGCAGCGTGGCAGTGTCAACTTCAAACACAGGTGTGCCACGAGGAACCCTGTGTTTATCTACAAACGGAGCACCCGTCGCCTAGCAACCGAGGGAAATCCTCGCGTCGCGTCAGGACTCTGATCCTGGTGTGACGTCAAGACGAGGTCGTTCCTCTCTTTGGCATGCTAAGTGTCCCTGTAATCATGCGTGAAGTGTCTTATCCCTTGGTTGTGAAATACAAATAGCTGGTGAGTCACTTTTTGAGACGGCTACTGGAGAAAAGGTATTTAGTTCGTGGAGACGAGGGGGCACTTCCTGCCGCAGAAAAACCTGAAATAGTTGTTGCACTGGTTGAATTAAAAAATACTTCAGGAGCACCGTGTGTGTGGTCCCTTCTACCTTTACAGCAGGCTTCCAGGAGGGGAACATTTCCATCCGCCTTTAGACTTTAGAACAATATTGGTTTAAAAAGCATATAGACGAGGATTTAACCGGACTGGCCTTGAGACACTGCTGTAATCTGAATGTCTCAAGCCCACACATCGCTGGGAGAGCGAGCTGAACGCAGTACGTGACAGTAATCATCATCACTTTCCCATCAGGCCAGTCACTTATACCGTCAGTGGGTCAAAGGGCACAGCAGGGTAAACATCTGGCACGGCCGCTGTATTTACTTCCCTCTTGAGATCGCATTTATAACAAGTGTTTTGGAATGTCTCTGCCTTAGAAACTGACTCATCACCGCTGGAGTCCGAAGTCTGAAAGATCAGCAAGTACAGTGCAGCACGTAGAGCAACCCTTGTCATTTCTTCGAGCGCACACCGTGTTATTACACAGGAGCAACAGGGTAATGGTTACCAAGCTGTGGGTGAGACCCCCCAAGATGTTTTAGGATAAATCAGAGGGGTCAGCAGAAGATTAAAGGCATATAGTGCTGTGCAAAAGTTTTAAATCACCCCTCATTTCTTTATATTTTGCTTCCAAGGAGCCAGACGTTCTTGTAATCTTTTAAAGTGGTCTTGATTAATAGTTCTCCAGGCTTTCTGAAGGTCCTCTGCTGCTTTTTCACTCATTTTCTGTCTAGACCCAGGACCTGACGACGACAGCATGTTGTGCACAAGCTGAGCTCAAAAGTAAAGAAGTTTCAGGCCTGACAGAAAACCTGAGATGAACCATTCTTCTGATCATCAATGACTATAAGTGAAATGTTCAGCTAATACCTTTTTAAGAGTCCCCTTGTGGGTGCTAAAATATCTTTTTATGTGTCAAATTGTGTTTTTTGTTTTTGTATTTTTCACAATTTTAATTGAAAATCTAAAGCCGAGCTTTATTTAAAGGAATGCACGTCAGAGTTAAAAACTAAGACTATATATTAAGAAATTATAGCTGTTTTAGTCAAGCCTTGGAAATAACACTTAACCTCATCAATATTGTGCAAGTTCAAGCTCAGGGTATGTGTTGTGAATGACCCTCTGCTACTACCACAACAAATTTTATCTCAATATTTATAAAACCAACTGAGTTCTAGCTATGTTATGGTTGCTGTTGTCCTGGGGTGGCCATCTTGATTTCAGATGACATTCAAAGTTAATCGGTTTTATATCCAGTTTCTGAAAGTTTAAAAATAAAAAAATCCCTCCAGTGGTTCATGAGATATTTTGCTAACAAAGAGTTGACTCCAAGTAGTTAATAGCAAGATTTCAAACAAAGAACGTGTGCAATCTATTAGCACACATATGTTTGGAATCAGTGTCAAGTTTCACCAAACAAAACTTATATCTGTTAAACTGACTGTTATAAACATTTATGTCTTTTTAAGATCAGTTGGCTGTGGTGGCCATCTTGAATTATATTAGGTCCAATAGGTGTTCAGTTGTAGATGTACAGTATATTTAATGATTATTTCCTAAAAGTTTTATTTAAATTTGGTCCATTTGTTGGTAACACAGACACACGCAGAACAACATGGGCAAAACCAATTTCACCTGCCTTCGACTTTTAATGGCAGGTGATAAAAAAATGGGAACAAACTGTACCTTTGTGGCAGGCTGCTTCTAATAAAGTGTCTAAATATCTTTTTTTAATGATTTTAAGTTGAGTTTTTTATACACACTGGTAGATTTCTTGAGATATGGAACCCTTTAAAGCCTGAATGGATCTTAGATTTGAGTGTTTTTACAAAAACAACAAGTATTTCTGATATTGTTCAGGTTCTGGGCTGAAAATGAGTACAATAAAACAAAAAATGACTAAAACAAATCTTTAAAAGAAAGACATTTTAGAAGTAAGAAGACGTATATCTCAACACCACTTTAAAATATTACAAAATCGTTTGGTTTCTTGGAACCAATAAATAATTGACAGATGACTCAACACTTTTCTGCAGCTTTATCTTCTTGTCGTCTACTTCCGGTAAAATCTGACTTTTTTTTTTTTTTCCACAGTCCTGTAAGACTACGAGCTGATGTCATTTATGGTTTTAACGAGCCGATGTGACAAAGCAATTTTGTTCCTTATGGGCTGTTGTAACATCGTGGCATTGGACCATAAATGTCTACAGAACGTTTTATAACAATCTGCCCATTGAAACATAGAAAAACGGGTTAAAAGTCGACAGCTCTACAGTGATGTACGGTCAAATGACTTAAAATCCTCATAT